GCGATGTCGAACAAACCCCGTGCCGCCACGCCCCTGCCATGCTCTGTATGAACGAAAAGCCAATGACAGATCACGCGCGCCATCTCTCGCCCGGCAAGCGCATGGGACTCTGCGCGCGTCGTGCTCCATTCGCAAAAACTCCGCCATCACATGCGCCAGCAGCGGCGGAGGAGGCCCCTTCCCCCGCTTCATCTCGGGGGCCCTCTCCGTCAGCTCCGACGCAATCAGCGCGTCAATCCGTTCGGAATTCCCCGGGCGCCTCGGAAAATCTGGTTCTATATCGCATATCGGGGCCCATCGCCGGAGAGCCCGGGGTCGCGCCCCTCTTGCCTCAGGGGATGCCGATGATGTCGCCCGCGTTGCATGAAACTTCCATTCAGGAAGCCCCTGTTGTCCTGGGGATGGGCGCCAGCTTGATTTCCGTTGTCTTTCCCATTTGTTACCCATATTCGAGAAGATACGCAGTTTTTGACTTGCGCCGGGGGGGCGCCGCCCCCGCCGCCGGCCCCGCGTCGAGCCCCGTCGCGGGCTGCCGCCGCGCGCCGAAGGCGCTCCGACCCCCGTCGCGGCGCGACGACTCAGCGAGGTCGACCCCGTCGGAGGGGCGCCCCCGCGCGCGCCAAGAAACCCGGAGTGCGCGATGGGCCCCTCAATGTCTCCACCGCCATCACCTCCATCCCCGCCTGTCTGCACCCTCATCCCTCCATCTCCGCCGCCGCCGGGCGGCCCGCCCCATCCGCCACCTCCGCCCCCGACTGAATCGCGAGCGTTCGGCGCTGGATCAGGTGGCCCACCCAGCGCGCCAGTCATCTTGGACGGCGCGCCCCCCGATGGTTGGAGCAACAGAAGGAACGCGGGCGCGCCGCGGAAGCGCTGCCCCACTGATTCGGGGGGGGCCAATGACTGTCATCTGATTCAGAAGTTTTCTCTGATTCAGCGCCCCCTCTTCGGCATGCTCGGCTCTTTCAAGTTCAAATTCATCGCGCTCTTGCTGAATATGTCCGAGGAATTCCTTCTGCCGCTCAATAAGACGAGCCGCGCGTGCATGTCCTGCCCGCCGCGGGGGCGCCGGCGTTCCCCCCCCTGGCGCCCCCGGGCAGCCCCCGCCGCGCCACGAACGCATTGCCTGCGTCTTTTGGTAGCGAAATCAACGTGCTTATCACAGCGTGGCTTGGGACCATGGGCGCAATTGATCCTCCTCGCGTTCGGGCAAAAATGGCGCCTTTGCGCGCCGCCCGAAACACTGTCGCCACTTCACCCCCGGGGCTTGACGCGTCGAGCTCCCAGGTGCCAAAGGCTGATCCTCGAGCGCCAGCCCCCCTTGCCCGCCACCTCCAGGAAGATGCATTCTGGCCCGAGTCTTCGCGGCAGATCGGATCGCGACGACGTCGCTCTGCACCGCGGATTGGATCCGCAGCGCAGATGGCGTCGCCCCGCCACTTTGCCCTGTTGCATGTTAAGCTTCCGGGGCAATAATCAGATTATCATGGGCCTCTCTCTGCTTGGCAAGGCCCTCGGCAAATGCGCTCAACTCTGTTTCCATGTTCGTTGCATGGTCAGTGGCGGCGCGCCCCCGGAAATTCGCTCGTCGTCAAACTGCAGCCGCCTCTTCATTCGCATGGCAAGCAAGACCAGCTGATTGCGCCGCCTCTTATTGCGTCGCGTTGCACGCGTCGCTGCACGCATGATTCCCTTTCCGCCCTGCATCCCGCAATTATGCTTCCCGCTTCTATCATCTTGCGTTCCGCTGACCCTTCCGACTCCCCCATTCGCCTTCTGGCCTCGATAAGGGGCGGCCGGGCTGCTTCCGACGGCGCGGCGGCCTAGATAGGATGGCTGCGCGGCCTGTAGAAGAATCTCTTTCTCATCGTTCACCCCCCGGACTCGCTCGCCACCCCGCGTTTGGGCCGGGCGACCTGGCGCGGCCAAGCCTTCGCGAAGTCTCTGGTCAGTGTCTAGGATGCTGGCCGAAAGCGCGGACCCCGGGCGTCGTTCGCTCCTCCGGGACACGGTGGCGCCGCCGTCGTTTTCCGCCGACGGGTGGCGCCGCGGTCCTCGGGCCCAACAACTATCGTTCATCGATGACCCCGCAAAAGAAAATCCGCGCGATCCTCGACTGCTCCTTGACCCGGCACGCAATCTTGCTGCCGGCGGCGGTCAAGGCGCAGGACTTCTCACGGCTCTACGCGTAAACAACCATGGAATCGGGATTGGCACCGGATTTTCTCGCGCGGCTGGGCAGTGCTGATCGTGGGTAAACTGTCTGCCGCGGTGGACCGCGTTGGATGAGTCGCGCCCCATGGCCACGTCCTCGGGCCCTTTAGGAAGCTTTGCCTCGGACATTTCTCCTGCGCCGCCCCCTGGGTGGCCCGTTTGAAATGCAACGCGCAGGTCCTTATGTCTGATCGGCGAAAATGCACTTTTTAATTCGTTGTCTTCAATGATCGCTTCGGGTTCGTGACCCAGAAAACCTTCCAACATTCGCAAAACGTGGCGGGTGGAGGGTGGCTTTCATGAGCAAGGTCTTGCCACAAACACCCTAAATCTGTAAGATCGCATAGACATGGACTTCCAAGAACACGCGGACCATGCTTACAGTCGGACCCCCGGTTGATACACTGAACCGTGTGAGTCCAAAGCCTGATGTATCCTAGGGCTGCCCGCGGTTTCCCAACATTTCACCGAACTGCAGCTAAGAAGTCATGCGGGCTACACGCATAGATGGCGAGCCCGTGTCCCAGTTGGGCCCGATCGGTGAGAATGCCGAACGTAATCAATTGGTATGATCTCACAATTGCATGTTCGAATTTACACGGATGGAGGGCGGCGCGTTGTCGAACTCGCACCAACGCGTGAGATTCTGATACACAAAATTTGGAAGGAGGGCGATCGATGACAGAAATCGTGATGTCGCTTCCCTCAGAAAGCACACATACATATACACACACCCACATACACGCGCACACACGAGACACACGACACACACACACACAACACACACACACAGGCGCACAAATGCACGCACATGCAGGCCAACTCTGCTTCGATACCAGTGCGGCTCGCCACGGTAATACGTTCGAGCCATATTCTGACCCTGTCGTACACATTCCGAAACAGATCCGCTTCTCAGCTGTCAGCCAGAACGTGTGCCAGGGCCGCAACCTTCTCCCCCCTACATGTATCCCTGGCCCCAAACCTCTGCACCGTTGCGCATGGCGAAGGTGACGGTGCCGGCCTGTGGGTGTGCAGCCCTCGTCACATATTGGGGTAGTCAACGCGTGTCGTGCGCCCTATCGCGCATCGGCGGCGGCAGCGGCATAGCATACGCAACGCCTCACTCGCAGTCGCCAGAAATGTGGCGCGTCTGGTGCGGTTCTCGCGGGCGCGGGCGGCGACGAGCGCGCCGTTGCCGCAGAGCTCGCAAGGGGGACTGCTGGCCCACGCCAGAGCGATTTCGGGGCCACACCGGGGCCCTTGTGGTGAGGGCATTGGCATGCCCCCCCGGTGTCAGTGCCGCAGAGTCCTCGATGATTTCTCACGCATGCTGAGGCCCTGGGATGCCAGTGCCTCTCGCACAGTCGTCGGCCCGCACAAGCAAAGCGGCGGCATGTGTGGGGTGACCTCGGCACGGAGCGGCAACTAGAATACAGAGGACGCTGTGCGACAAGGCCGCCGCCGCGCTCCGCGCCGCGGTGGCGCGGGTGACCCCATTCACTTTGGAACCTCCCTCGCGCCTTTTGCTGAATCGGCTCGTTCGTCTCCTGCTTCGTCCTAGTCCTCCTCGTCCTCCTCGTTCGCCCTGTCCGCCTCGTCCCCATCGTCCTCCCCGTACTCCTCGTCTTGCCCGTCGTCGTCGTCGCCGCAGTCCTCCTCCTCGTCCTCCTCCTCCTCATCCTCCTCCTCCTCATCCTCCTCCTCATCCTCCTCCTTCTCGCAAATTATCTTGCTCCACCTCCCCCACCACGCTGCTCACTTTCCCCCCGTTCCCCTCTACGCCATGCCTCTCCATCCATCGCGTACCCTCTAGGGATCATTGCCCTGCTCGACATCCGACTCTGCGAATAGACAGGAGATCTACGCCATTGTAAGGGATGGGAGGAAGGAGTAGGACGTCAGATGTGACTCTAGCCGGCCTAGCTTGCCCCCTGCCCCCCTCCCCCTCCCCCCGCGGCCAAACGTCCCAACCCGCATGCCCGGCCCTCACCCCCTGCGTGCACCACCCGCCCACCCGCCACCGCGCCCAACCCCCACCTCTTCAGGGATGCGTTCCGACCAGACCTTCGAGACGAATCCAGCGGTGGCGACGAGAACCTCCAAGGAGGTTCAAAAAGGCTACACGGAGGCCAGGGTAGCGGTATTCTTACGGTAGGTTCGTGCGGCGTCGGTGCGCGCAAGGGTTTTTGACGCCGCGTCGATCGTTCAACCTTGAATCGATCGCGGCCCCGATAGTTCAAGGTTGAATTCTGTCTGGTCCACTGGCGTCACCGCGTCCCTCGGTGCTTCCACGTCGCAGACTTAATTGACTGCCTTCGCTGGCGTCGCTGGCGCGCCAACGCCGCATCAACCTGCCGTACCTCTCCCTACTCTGACATCCCACGCCCCAAGGAAAAACCCGCCCGCACCATGCGCTGCCAGCTCGCACGCGCGCCTCGCGGATTAATTACTTCCGTCCAGAGAGCGGTGCAACACGCGAGTGGGAGCAAGGGCTCTGCCTGACCCTGAGCTAGTCTCGAGCTCATGTTTTTCGCGGCCATAACGGGCGCTATGGAGGGGGGGGGACCAGAAGGGGCATGACGTAGCGTCCCCCCTCCCCCAGACTGTGGTGCCGGACGCGTTGCGGCAGTTCCGGGGACACACTGGGGGGGGGAAGAACTACGTTATGGAGGGGGGGAGGGCGGGAGGGTAGGGGGCGTAACGCGCGTGGTGGCCAAAAGGGTAAAAAAACATTCTCCTCCTCCGACACCACCCGCCCCCAAAACCACCCCGTCCGCACCATGCGCCTCCGGCTCCTGGTCGAAGGGACTGGGGGCCCCCGCCAGCGCCGCGCCGGAAAGGCCGCTGGCGCGCTCTGCTGGTGCTGCCGCGGCAGCCTCCGCGAACGGGGGGGCGGGAGCGACTTCCTCCTGTCCCTCGACCTCCTCAGCCTCCTCCTCCTCCTCCTCCTCCTCCTTTTCCTCCCTCTCCTCCGCCTCCTCCTCCTCCTCCTCCTCCTCCTCTTCCTCCTCCTCCTCCCCTTCCTCCTCCACCTCCTCCTCTTCCTTGTACATACAGATCATACTATCCCTCCCACCAAGCACCTGATGCAAACACAAGATAAAATAAATCATATCTGATCATTTCCGCACTCAAAACACAACGCGATTAGGTGCGTCCACCCTCCCGCCCAGCTTAGAGAACGTGTCCTTATGCTCGGCAATGACCGGCGTCATGGGGGGGGAGGGGCGGAGGGGGGGGTATGACGTAACGCTCCCCCCCCCGCCGTGTGGCTCCGGCACCACAGCCGCGCACGCGCGCACGACGCGACGAGCGACAAGCGACGACGACGACGACGACGACGACGACGACGACGACGATGCGAGCAGCATGTAGGTGGCGATCTGCCCCACTGCGCTTGTGTACACCACAACGCCCACGTGCACCACAGCGCGCGTGTACACCACAGCACCTGCCTACATCGCAACAACCGTGTGCAACGCAACGCCTGTGTACACTGCAGTGCTTGCGTGCACTACAGCGCCAGTGTACATGTGCACACCGGAAACAACCATGTGCAACGCAGCGCCTGTGTACACCACAATGCTTGCGTGCACCGCGGCGCCTGTGCACACCACAGCGCCTGTCTACACCACTGCGTCCGCGTGCAACGCAACGCTATTGTACACCACGCCGCCTGCGTGCATAGGACAAGTAGAAGGAACCTGTACGTGAGGATCTGCTGCGGAAGCGCCACGCCAAGAAAGTGCTGATAATCGGATGCGACGTTTTTCCCTCTTCCCTTCTCCTCCATTTCCACCTCCTCCTCCCCCTCCTCCTCCTCCATTTCCTCCTCCTCCCCCTCCTCCTCCTCCTCCTTTTTGTTCTCTTTTTCCTCCTCCTCCTCCTCCTCCTCCTCCTCTTCCTCCTCCTCCTCCTCATACTCTTCCTCCTCCTCATTACCCCTGTTGTGCGGGTTGGCGCTGCAGCGCACGTGCGCAATTCAGCGTGCACCGCAGAATGTTCGATTGAATCGGCCCACTTGGTTTTCGGACGGCCAATTTAGCTGGAGCTTTGTGGACACAGATGGGAGGAGCTACGGTGGTGCGGGCGAAGTCGGAAGGACTCGTAGATTCCCTTGGCGTTCCCTTGTCCATATGGATGTTTTCCGGTGTTTTCGGTGGAATCCACAAACGCCCCATTTTGTCATCATGATTCCATCAAACACTCTACATACAACACTGGTGCTGTGTTGCACACGGATGTTGTGGTGCACACAGGCGCCGTGGTGTACACAAGCACTGTGGTGTACACTGGTATGTTGCACACGGCGGACGTGGTGTGCGCAGGCGCTGTGGTGTACACAAGAGTTGTTGCGCCCGCGGGCGTGGTGGCACAAACTGGCACTGTGCTGCACGCGGCTGCTGTGGTGTACGTAGGCGGTGTGGTGTACACAAGCTTTGTGGTGCACGCAGGCACTGAGGTGTACACCGGCGTTGTGGTGCAAATCGCCACCTACATGCTGGTGCCACCCGTCCTCCGTCATTGCTAAGCATTCCCAGGCGCCGCCGGCGCGAAGCGTGACGTCATCGACCCCATCCACCCCCCCCAGATGATGCCGTCATCGGCCCCGAATGGGAAACAAAAAAAAAAGGCTCCAGCCACGTCCGCGCGCACGACGATGAGCGATGAGCGATGAGCGACGAGCGACGAGCGACGAGCGAGCGACGACGACGACGACGACGTCGACGACGACGACTGCGGACCAGACTCCTACGCGGATTCCTGCGCGGACACGTACGCGGATCCCAATACGCACGGCGGCAATGCCCAGGGCGCAGTGGGGGGGGAGCGTTACGTCATAGGGGGGGACGGGGGGGGGGGGCGGGGGCCATGACGCCCGCCATGCCCCAAACAATTAAAACATTGTCTCTTATGAGCCACAACGGCCATGGGCGGAAGGGAAATATAATTCATTATCACCCTAAATATCACATCCTCGCCCACATGCGTTTCACATCGAAAAAAACCGTCGCTGAAGAATGCGCAGCAAATTCTGAAGCAAACCTTCAGGATATTCATTCATATACCTGTTGGCGCGACCGTGCCAAAAGCCGCCCGCGGACCGAACGACGACTATCAAGATATGCAATCAAATCATAACCACACAATCTCAATATATCCTATACATACCACGATAACAAATCAGATAGCGATGCAAACAGCATCCAATCACTTGATAGGGTGCACCCATAGTCTCTTAACCTGAGAGGGTGCACACAATCTCCTCAACCACCTAACGTAAACACAAAGGTGGTAGTAACTCTAAATGCAATCTCTTCCACAACACAATGTAAACACAAAGTTGGCTGTGACATCGCAATACAAGTACTCCATCATCCAACAGACACACAAACTTGGCAGTGACATATCAGCGTGAATGTGCTGGCTTGATGGTGCTGTAGGCGACGCAACTCTTGATCCTCGGATCCAGACTGTAGCCCTTGCTTTCGTCTGCGTCCGGCTTCAGACGCTGGCCCAAGCTATTCGCGTCGTGCTTGTCCTTGCTTCATATGTATGCGAAGCTGCTGCCCTCGCATATGCCACTCTTGATGCGCATCGGTCCAAGTGTAGCCACACACTGCCTCAGGAGAGCGCTGTCCCCTAGGTTGATTTGCCAATCATCCGTGACCTCGCCGGAGTACGTCTCCACCTCGGGCTCAGCCTTCAGGTGTAGTGTAGCAGGTGTAGTGTAGCTGTCTTGAGTTTTGCCTGTTTGGGCACGTCCGCCCTGGAAAAGGTTGTCGCTGTTTGAACTGTCCACCTACATAGGTGCCATGCCGAAATCCTCGTCGTCGCTCTGCCTAGGCTGCATTATGTAGATAAAGATGACGACTCCCGCAATGATAGAAACCAGCGCCACCGCCGTGGGATGCGTCGAAAGACAAACTCCACGCACTGCAAGTGCACAGAACTGAAGCAGAGCTGCAACTTGGCCAGGTAGGAGGCGTCGGCTTGCGGGGGGGGTCGGGCGCGCGGGAGGCGGGCGGAGGCGTCGCCGGCGCCCCGCGCCGGCCCGCGCCCCCGGGGGGCTCCATGTTGGATTTCCCAGGCTGCGCCATGCGCGCGCACGCGCTACTTGCCCGCGCGCTCACATTCGCGCAAGCGCATCCTAAGAAACTATGATTTGGATCGGAACCGGGCGACAACGGGCATGGGGCGCCTGTCAAGGCTGCTTTTGGGAGCGATTGCTGCTGGCTCGACGCGCGCGATACGCATGTAACGACTTTTGGAGGACGGGCGCTGCGCCGGCCAATCCAACGCGGCAATGGCGCGGTCCGGGGCGCGCGGCCGTCGCGGCGCACGGCGGTCGACGTGACCGCGTGGGGCGCGCGATCGGCCGCGCGGTATTTGCAGGCCATTCGGCCGGCGCTGCCGGGTCGCCCTCAAACAGCCCGCCAGGAATACGCAAATGCGCAATGCGCCAGCGCGCCGCCAGGATATCGCCCTGACAACAACCTGTTCACTCTGAACGCCGACTGCGCGCCTCGCTGAACCAGCGAAGTCGCGCGGCGCGCCCGCGCCGCGGACCCGCCGCGCTGAACTCGCGGGAAAAAGGCCTCTCTCCATGGGTTCTGGCACCGATTCTGGGCTACTTCCCCGTTCTGGCCGATTCTGGTTCTATCGCCGATTCCTCCTTTGATTCCGTACTGATTCCGTGCTGATTCTTTTGATTCCGCTAGAATCAGGGGTCGCAGTTGTGCCGATTCTGTTTTGATTCTGCACTGATTCCGCACTGATTCCTTTGATTCCCCTGCGCGGCCCGAGCTCCCGCCTGGGCGGCGCGGTTTTTCCAGGAGCGCGGAAGAGTTTTGAGGGGGGGGGGGCGGGGGGGGAGGCGGAGCGATTCCGGCGCATCGGGCGGCCGAGCCGCAGATTTCCGGGCCCAGTGCGCGCGCCCAACATGGCAGGCGCGGGCGCGCGCGCGCGAGTTCTCGACCGTCGGCGCATCTGTATGTTCATGCCCCGCCCCGCGCGCGGGAATGGAAACATGCGTTGCGGTTTCCAATTGAACGCGCGGCCGTCGCAACTGCATCGCATTGCTCAGCGCGCAAAAGCGCGCGCAGCATGGGGGCTTTGCGTTCTCGCATGAGAAGCGCGCGGGACCGAACCGAATGGTCGGCGGCGCCCGCTCCTGCGCCGCGCGCGAGGCCATCGCGTCAGCGCGGGGGGCTACACTGGCCTGGGCCGTCGCCCTGGGGCGCGGGCACAGCGCGAGGCCCGCGCGGGTCTCTCGCGCCGAACATGCGCAACAAGGTCGGCCCGCCCGCCGGCTGGCGCTCGCGGGCGACGCGACGCCGGCGCCGACTGCGAGGCCGACTGGGCCCGGAGGATTCCTGAGAGCCCCGGGAAGGGGCAGCGGGCCGCGATGGAATCGGCGCGATCGTCGGCGCCCCCCCCGCGCCCGCGCCCCCCTGCAAGCCGACTCCTCCTATGGCCAGGTATCCGAATGGTTCGCTGCGCGCCGCTCCTGGCCACTGGGTATTTGCCCATCGCATCGTCAATGTAGAATGTTTCGACACACTCGGTCTCGTCATATTTCTCGCCCTTGTCATCGTAGAAGCACTCGTCGACATAGTTGTACGCTTCCACCGGCCAGGTATATATCTCATCGTTCCCATCGGTGACGTCGTGCAGCTCCTGCTCGATGTACTTCGCCATCTTCGCGCCCAGGTCGTCGACCTCCTTGTTGGCTGCCACCTACTCTGGCCCAGCGAGCTTCCGTCCGCGCACTGATGGCGCCCTGCCATAAGGCCCGCATAGCCTCCTGGACGCACTACCGTCAAACAGTCCGATCGCATCTGCTCGCTCTTGACCCACTTGATGCTGACCTCCCTTGGTGCTGACGTAGTATAACCGCCGCCGGAGAAAGCCTCCTGTCCGTCATAGATACCTTCTCCTTCGCGATCGTGTCATACAGGCTGATGCAGTGGGTCAGCAGGTGTCGTGCACGACCTCGACCGCATCCATCTCTGGGTATAGGATCTCCGCCAAGGTCGCCCTGGCCCACATCAACATATCCACCGAATCTGCACAGGAGTATGCCTCCGCCGATAGAGTAGATCGCACCACTCACTGAATCTTTGAGGACTGCCACCCAATGCGATGTACCTTGTACTTGTTGTCGTGGTCTTCGTTGATCCCCCCCATCAACTAGCACGATGAGTTGTCCTCGTTGCGATCTGTGCCTCGGCAGGTTGTCGAAAGCACTGTCGCTCATGTTGAGCACCGTGGTCTTCCACAGGTTTAGGCCAGCTGTGAACTTGATCAGTAGGTCCCCCCGCTTCTGGATTCTCCTGATAGCTGCGCCCCCGTCCTGTGGGTCCTTCGCCGTCGGAGCCCCCAGCGTCGATGCCAATCGGGATGCATCGAACGCCTCTTCGAAACAAATCACTCGCGCAGCCCACTGCAATTCTCCAACCACCATTCGTAGTCCTCGATGCCCTGCAGGGGTCTGCGCACTGCCAGGTGCTGCGCTGCGCCCCCTGGGAACGTGCAGTCTGCATAAACTTCGCATCGGCCTCCATGGTGACGTCGATGCTGGCGCCCTTGTCTTGCTGATAGGCTCGGCCGCATAACGCCGCCTTCTCCTGCCTCGCGCACTTGACCTCGCCAGAGCCAATTTCTTTCGGAAGGTCCTTCATGATCTTGGCGCCCGCAAGGTCGTCCTGCTCGATGCCCATGAGGGGGTCGTCCACGCGTAGACACATGATCCCGATGATCGGGTTCTCCTTGTTGCGCCGGATGAGGGCCGCGGGCTCGAAGCTCAGGCCTTCCTATCCAAGCTTCGCGAGCGTCTCGCGCAGCGCCGCCGCGCATCATGCTCTTGCCGCATCGTTGGCCCCGTAGATGCTCTTGCAAAGCTTCAGCAGGTCGCCTGCTTCCTAAGCGCCTGGGATGGCGCGCCCCCCAAGGCTCGTCGGGGCCCGAAAGTAAAGCTCGCGCGCGGTCTCCTGCCTTGTAGAGGGCCCCCCCTTCGCATCTGCAACGACTACGCCCAAGTTGAGGCTCGATGCGATGCTGCGCAGAAGTAGCGCCATCTGTGCTGAGACTGTAGGGGAGTCTCGACGCAGCTTGTCGTCGAGCTCCTCCTCATACCCCCGCCCGCATATCCCGCCTTCGGCGCAGAGATCACAGGGCCCGCGTCCGCCCAGACCACCTTGGAGCTTAGGATCTTGTCTGGGTCTATATTCTCAACCGCTGCTCCTGATATGCGGGTTGCTGCATCGTGATTGAACCAGGTATTCCACTCATTCTCCAGTGCACTCTGCATCTTCTTCCCCTTGAGCTCGTCGTCGCCCGGCGCCTTCAAATTGATCTCCTGACGCTTGTTAGCCCTTGTCGGCTGTGTGCGCATCCGCTCTGCCACGAACGCTTCAACCAAGTGTGGCGCATCCGCCAGCTGCTTGCCTGGCCCCACCTGCCCCTTCGCACGCTTGACGGTTCCAGCAGGAACTCCTTAAGCGTCGCGGGGTGTTCCTGGCTCTTGCTGCCCGGATGCTGCTCCGGCTGTCATGTACTCAAGGTTGTTGTCCTGTGTTGATGTTATGATTATGTTGTTAGCGCTGCTGCCGTTTCCCCTGCCTTCTTGCGTTCATCCATATGCCTCTTGATGATGGCAAGAACTTGGAGCTGAGCTCGGTCGTCGCGGGCATCGCCCTTATTGGCATGTTTGAGCTTCAAGTCCTTCTTGACCGACTGCTTCTCACCACCGCGCTTCACCTCCTTGGGCTGCCCCGGCCCCTCCATGATCTCGTCGGCGTTGCCGCCGCTTGGAGGTCCAGGCTGTGAGGCTTAGTTTGTCGGCCACCTCCCGGTCCATCTTCAGCTCCTTTCCCTCGTCGATGAGATCTCCTCGATGACCGCGATCGGTTGCTGTGCCCCCGCATCATCGATGATCTGAGGATAAGCTAGCCAGTCCACCCTCGAGATGTCCTGAACCAGGTCGCGCGTGTCCAGATTGGACTGCCGCCCCCTCTCTATATGATACCCTTGCGCTGGTTCGGAAAATAGACGTGCATTCCTGATACTGTTCAGCAGCCTCAGGTCGGTCTTGTCCTGGCTGCAGGGTGCCACTGCTCCCAGGACGGTGCCCCAGGCTTGGTGTGCTCGACATAGTCGCGCTCTCAAATATTCGTCTGCTTGGCCTTGGTCAGCTGGTACTGGTCCGTGCTCATCGCCCAGCCTCTGCCGCATCGGCATCGCGTCATTGTCGTGCACCATATCCGATCGCCTCTTTCTGCTGTCCGACTGTTTCGGATGACCCGCACCACCTTGAGCTGGTGCTGTTCCTGGTGCGTCTGGTTGTCCTTGCACTGGCTGCTGTCGTGGAGCTTCTTGCTGTCCAGGTAGCTGCCAGTGATTGTCTTGCTGTCATTCTGGAGGCGGCTGATCTTGATGCTGATGTGGCTGTTGATCAGTGGTTGATCTGGCTGCTGAGCATCTCGTGCTGGGTTATATTGCCCCCTCGAAAATCTATACAGCCTCTCTGTCCAGCTCGAGATCGGGTTGACCCGCCGTCGGAGAACACGTCGGTGAACTGCATGGTCGTCACCTCCCCTGACATCGGCCGTCTTGAGAAACTCAAGGCGCGCCCGCGCGTCTTGAGTTTTAGTCAAGACGCTTGAGAATACTCAACACACTCCGAAAAACTCAAGACATCCGTCGAAGCAGCGATGTACACTCCAAAACAAGCAAGACAATAAAACATCAGCAAGATAAGCAAACATAATCAATATATTCAAAAAACAATGTTGCGCGGCAGTTGGAACAGTTGGAGCAGTTGGAAGAGGGGGAAGAGAATGGAGGAGGCGGAGGGGGAGGAGGAGGAGGGCGCTCCAAACTTTAATTGAACAACTTCATGATCTGAGCACTTATGTTGAGGTGTTGTTCTGCTCTGCGCCGTGCGTTCCCGCTACAGGCCCCCCGTTGCCCCTGGAGCACTGTTGGAGGAGTTTCGTTTCTTCCTGTTGTGGCGGTCTTGTTGGGCCTGTGTTGGGGGGCCTTGGATTGGTCTTTCTCGGCCTGTCTTGGGGGGCCCTGGGAGTCCTCGGGCTTGCTTTCGTTTCGTTTGATTATTTGGAGATAGTACTGGCTCTGCTTTGGGATTTAGTTAGTTGTTGTTTGGTGGTGATTTCCCTTTTGTTCCTGGGTTGAGCCTTGAGGGGCCTTGTGGGTCCAGTGGCTGGGCCTTGGGGGTTGTTTTTGGGACTGCTTTTTCTTGTTTTTCAACGCGCAGAATTCGCGAGGCCTCGGCCATGCATGAACGCGTAAAACGTCACTTCTCACGTTCAAACGAAGAACGTGGAAACGCGCTGTGCACAGGGCAGCGCTTGGGCCCTACAGCGGTGCCCGCGGGCTTGGAAAGAGAGCCGCCAGCAGTGTCGTTCCCGCGAGTCGTGCCGCCAATGTCTTTTGAGTGAGCTGTCCCGACGGACGCCCACGGGTGGTGAGCCTTATGGTGTTCCTCGAACTCCTCGTCGTCGTTTTTCACCTCCTCAAGAATGGGAAGAAGCGTAGGGAAGAAAGCGAGAGGCTTTGGCGCCGTTGTCCGAGAAAGACCCGTGCTCGCCCGCGTAAAAGCGGGCAGGGCCCAACGAGCCGCCGCAAACTGCAAGACTCAAGGGCACGTGCCTACGGAGCCCGGAGGGCTGCGAGGAGGCGCAGGGCCTGGTGGGCGGCAGCGAACGGGGCAGAAATGAACCCCGCGCAAAGCTGGGCCCGAAGCGCCACTGCCAGCGGGATCGCGAAATCACCGCGCGAGGCAAAAGGCCTGAGAGAGCCACCTGCCCGCACCGACTGCTCGAGAGCAGGTAGGCCCCACCAAAACGACCGACGCCTCTGGCGAACGGTCGTGCCCACCCGGGTCTGGCGGGGAAGCAAGCAAGAGAGAGATCGCCCGATGGCAACCCCTCTGGCGCGCGGGCCGCGGACGGGGGCCGGCTGGGGGCGGTGCGCCGGCCACCTGCGGCCGAAGCAAATGCAGACGACCACGACGCGCGCGGGCAGAGAGAATGATGATGTTGATGCGGATGATGATAATGGTGACAATGATGATGACGACGATGATGATGACGGTGCTGATGATGATTACGATGATGATGAGGCTGCTGATGATGATGGTGATGATGGTGATGGTGATGACGATGATGATGATGATGATGATGATGATGATGATGATGATGATGATGATGATGATGATGATGATGATGATGATGACGATGATTATGGGAGGAGGGAGGAGGGGGAGGGGAGGAGAGGAGTGGAGAAGGAACGCGGGGCGACGGGCGCTGTCTCTTCACCACAATATGGTTGGGACAAACAATCGACCCGCGGCCTCCCGACCTCGACCCTCTGTCGCTGCCCCCTGTCATGTGTGCGGCGACGGCGGCGACCGTAGGCGCAGCGTCCGCGCCTCAGGCTCCCGCCCCACGCCGAACGGCGCCGCAGATGGAGGCGCCCGCGGCGCGGCGTGAGGGGGCTCGGCGCCGAAGAGGCCGTTGACGTCCTGTGCTGGCATTGCAGCGATCCTCCTCCTCCTCCACCTCCTCCTCTTCCTCCTCCTCCTCCTCTGCCGGTTTTCCGCAGCCCTGGCACCCGCTGACCATGGAAGCGGGTGTCCACCAGGACGAGGCGTGCGAGGGAAGGCCTCGCCAGAACACGTTGAAGCCTCCGCGAGTCTGCGGGCGACGCGCCCCTGACCCAGACATCGGGAGGGCCGCGCGGCGCAAACAACTTCACGACCCC